TAGTTTGTATACAGTTTAAAAAACAAATAGTCACATATAAGAGAGTGTACTCAACAACTGTATTGTTGGGGTGCCCAGTCAAAAACAGAAACCACTGGTCTTGGCCACTTCCTCTATGAGCAGGAAAATGTGCTCGCTCTCCTGGGGGGAAATCAGAAGGCAAAATTCTCTTTGTATATGTAATTTCTGTTGTAACCCTCACAGGATGGAAGAAAATGACCACAGAGCCCAGTAACATTTCTCACACTGTGAGTGAGTTCATTCTCCTGGGTTTCCCTTGCCGCTGGGAAATACAGATCCTCCTCTTTTCCATATTCTTCGTGACTTACATCCTGACCCTCTTTGGAAACATGGCCATCGTGTGTGCAGTGCGCTGGGACCACCGGCTCCACACCCCAATGTACATTCTGCTAGCTAACTTCTCCTTCCTGGAGATCTGCTATGTCAACTCGGACGTGCCCAACATGCTGGCCAACTTCCTCTCCAAGACTAAAACCATCTCCTTTGCATGCTGCCTGCTCCAGTTGTACTTCTTCTTCTCACTGGGCACTACCGAATGCTTATTTCTCTCCATCATGGCCTACGATCGGTTCCTGGCCATCTGCCGCCCCCTGCACTACCCCACCGTCATGACCATTAAGTTCTGCAGCAGCCTGGTTGTTTTCTGCTGGGTGTATGGTTTCCTCTGGTTTCTGATTCCGGTGATCCTTGTCACACAGCTACCATTTTGTGGCCAGAATGTGATTGATGACTTTCTGTGTGACCTGGGTCCTCTGCTGGCCCTGGCTTCAACCTGTGCCCCAATTCCAGGGACTGTTCTTCTGTGTGGCACCATGAGCTCCCTCCTCATATTTGCCACCTTTTTCTACATTGTTGGCTCCTATACCCTGGTGCTGAGGGCCGTACTCCTGGTCCCCTCGGTTGCTGGCCGGAAAAAGGCCTTTTCCACCTGCTCCTCACACCTGGCTGTTGTGTTTTTATTCTATGGTTCTGTGATGATGACGTATGTAAGCCCAGGGGCAGGACAAGCAGAGAGCATGCAGAAGTTCACAACTTTGTTCTACTCAGTTTTGACCCCTTTTTTCAACCCCATGATCTACAGCCTTCGGAATAAAGAAATGAAGGATGCCTTAAAGAAAGTTCTAAGAGGTTCCTAAAATTGGGTCTGTGACTTAGTGACTTATTCCCCAATGAATTAAAACTGTTAGCCTCCTGTCAGTGAACAGTTAAGAAACTGGAAAACAGGTGTGAACTTTTTGAAGGAGCATTTCAAAATCCTAAGTGCCAGGACACTAATGAAGTCTTTCCTTGGGCAGAATTAATTGACTCTCCCACAGCACATTACTTATACTTCTATTTAACATGTCCTTCCTTCTTTCTTGAATTATAGTTAGCTGTTCACAAATCTGTCTCCACGTGCTTCCTCATCCTTATTAGACTGTGAATTTCTTAAGAGCAGAGACTATGCTTTATTAATTTCTATACTCTCAGAACCTAGCACAAAAATGTCAATAATTTCAATTTAAATAAAAATATATATACTATTCATTGTTCCTCACTAGACTATCATTCCTAACATTCAGGACAATATATAAAGAAGCTATATAAATTCTGTAACAACCTGTATTTTATATGTCCTATGGATGAAATTTTTTTTAAAAAAAAACTTTCCTAGAAAAAATGTGAGATTGACCTGGATTGACTGGACCAGTCATTACATGATAATCCAATCAATGGAAAAGTCTCACCAAATGAAAATTAATGTCTAAGAAATTATCTGCTTCCTGCCCTTAACCAATCCCTTTTACCTGATAAGGTAGCCACTTTATTTTATTCTCTTCTAACTAATCATACTTCCAATACTGCATATTTTAAAACATATTATGCAACCCTTATCACTGAAATATGGTTTGGGGATCATTTTGCCAGGCATCACTAGGAAATATTTATTTATTTATTTAATATATTTTATTGATTTATTACAGAGAGAAAGGGAGAGAAAGAGCTAGAAACGTCGATGAGAGAGAAACATCGACCAGCTGCCTCTTGCACACCCCCTACCAGGGATGTACCTGCAACCAATGTACATGCCATTGACCGGAATCGAACCTGGGACCTTTCAGTCCACAGACCGATGCTCTACCACTGAGCCAAACTAGCTTCGGCTATTTATTTATTTATTTATTTATTTATTATTGAAAACTATTTTTCAAATTTTATTTTTCAATTACAATTTACATTCAAAATTATTTTGTATTAGTTTCTGGTGTACAGCATAGTGGTTGGACAATCATATACTTTACAAAGCGATCCCACTGGGAGCTTTTAGAAGGTGGGATTTCAGGGCCCCATCTTAGGCCTATTTGCAGAATCTGCTTTCTATCTTCAGTAGATTATCATGCACATTACAGTTAGAAAGCCACTGATCTACAACAGGATGTCTACAAGGCTAATATGATGTTGATGTCCTCTAATGTATTCTTCATTTCCGTTATTGCGTTTATCTTTTCTGATTGGTTCTTTTTTATGTTTTCTATATCATTGCTGAAATTCTCACTGAGTTCATCTATGCTTCTCCCAAGTTCATTGAGCATCCTCATAACCAGTGTTGTGAACTCTTTATCTGACAGATTGCTTGTCTCTGTTTTATTTAGTTATTTTTCTAGATTTTTGTCTGGTCTTTCATGTGGGACATATTTCTCTGTCCCCTTATGTTGACTGTCTCTCTATATTTGTTTCTATGAATCAAACAAAAGAGTGACCTTGTATAGGAGCTACTCCTTTGTAGAATGTGGGTACTGGGTATATCTTTGGTGGGCCAGCTGGAGCATGTGTAGGTCACAGGAGGCAAATTACCAGGGCCTGGAGTGGTAGCTAAAATGGAGAGGGTCAATGGCATGCTGCACTGGGACCATCTTGGCAGGCCAATTGGAGTTGCAGGTGGAGTGGGCTCAGGCCTTAGGTAGTGCGACATCAGGACAGGGAGCTAAAGATAGATTAGATGTGACTTGTAGGAATTCCCAGAGGTAAGCCACTCGGACTATAGCTAAAGCTGATCTACAGGAAGTCCAGGGAACAAGCCACACCTGGGCAGGAGCTGAATCTAGAACTACAGCTGAGGAAAGTCACATGGCTGGAAGCTGGAGCTACAGCAGGCTGCAGGGAGACCTGTTTCTGTGTCATTTCTCTCTCTCATGTGCAGAAGCTGTTCATTTGACCCTCAGTAAACTAGATGTGTTCCTGGGAGGAAGTGAGTTCAGTATCTTCTTATCCCACCAGCTTGGACTGAAAGCCAAACTAATTTTTAAATTCATGTGGGAATGCAAAGAACTTAGACTAGACAAAACAAAGTTGGAGGAGTAACACTATCTGATTTTTAAAAGCTTATATAAAATTACAATGATCAAAACAATGTGGCATTGACAACTTTTCCTCAAAAAATTAAAAATGGAGCTTCCATTTGATCCAGTAATCCCACTTGTAGGAATATATCCCAAGAAAACAGAAACACCACTCAGAAAGAACATATGTACCCCTATGTTCATAGCAGCACAATTTACAATTCCTAAGATTTGGAAACAGCCTAAGTGCCCATCAGCAGATGAGTGGATTAGAAAACTGTGCTACAGCTACACAATGGAATATTATGCTTCTGGGAAAAAAAGGAATTCTTACCATTTGCAGCAGCATGGATGGAACTGGAGAGCATTATGTTAAGCAAAATAAGCCAGTCAGAGAAAGATAAATATCACATGATCTCACTCATTTGTGGAATATAATAACAACATAAATTGATGAACAAAGATAGAACCAGAGTCATAGAAGCATCAAACAGACTGCCCAACCTATGAGGAAGGTAGAAGGTGAAGGAGTAAGAGATCAACCAAAGGACTTGTATGCATGCATATGAGCAAAACCAATGAACACAGACAATGGGGGGTGAGGCATGTGCTGGGGGGATAGGGGCAGCTGGGGAGAGGTCAATAGTGGGGAAAGGAGATACATGTAATACTTTAAACAATAAAGAATTAAAAAATAAATAAAAATAAAATAGCAGTCACTCGTTTTAGCCAAGAAGGGAGGATATTTGGTAGTGTATGGGTGGTACAGTAATCTTACTTTTCCTGTGCTTAGACAAAATTACAAAGTAGTCTTTTCTTTTTAAGGCTACTAATAAAAACTTTATTTGCAAATGTTGACATGTTTAAGTCAGAATTGAAAGCAACAATAAGCAACTCCTTCACAGTTATTAACTCTGACCAAGGCATAATAAGAATTCACTTGGACAAATATTTTTCATAACCTATCTAAAAACAGGATAGTTCATAAATTCTATTCTATTCTTTTTGCTATTGTCAGTCCTTGATCTTTAGCTGCAAAATCTAGTAAATTTTGGCATACTCTAATGCTAATATTTTAAGTTACCAAAAACCTCTATAATTTTAGCATTATTTCTCAAATCTGGGCAGTTTTCTCATTCTGAATGCTTAATCATTTAGATCACAAATTGAAATACCAGTAGAAAAACATTAATCTATAGGCAGGTTGTACAGTTAACACATGACAAGAAACTAACAGGAAAATTTAAACATCTAGAACATACAAATACTTGAAAGTATTATGAAGTCTGAACTTAATTGGTACATTTTGCTAAATTATAGCAATTCCAATTAAAGAAAAACCGGACTTCTGTAAGGTTTAATGATTTAAGCTACCTCAAATTTTGTCCAATTCCTGACACCAATATTAGATTTATACAGAAGTTTTATTATAGTAAGAAATAGCTGTTACAGTGAGATCTGCAAACATATACAGAATTATATTTAAATTCATATAGAATAATATTTACATTTTTAAGTTACAACTTTGAAGTTAGAAGATGAAGTATAGCTTAAGTTTTACAACAAAGAAGACAAAAATACACAAGACAAAAATAGAGTTGACAGTAAAAATATAACTATCTGTTCTTAATACAACATGTGGAAACCCTTGTCAGAAAATTACATCTTCTTAATCTGATTGTCCAAATCACTGAAATATGGATGAATCAGTGCCATTTTGCCCGAAATTCGTTTGGCAGGATCATATACTAACATTTTCGAGAGAAGATCCAAGCCATCCTCATCCAAGATTTTGACATGGGATGACAGGCTTCCTGGTTTCCACTTGGGAAATGTATTCTTATAGTCTTGTAAAGACTCCACCTCTGGCCACACTTCATTGTTGGGGGTACCCAAAGCTCTGAAAATTCTGAAGAGTTGATCAATTTCTGAATCCCCATGGAAGAGTGGTTTCTTAGTTGCTAATTCTGCAAATATGGTGCCTATACTCCAAATGTCAACTGGAGTCGAATAGCGAGCTGACCCCAGCAACACTTCTGGAGATCTACACCAAAGTGTGACCACCTCATGTATATATACTCTAATAGGTATTTCAAAAGCTCTGGCTAGGCCAAAATCAGCCAGTTTAATTGTTCCTTTGTCATCAATCAATAGATTTTGAGGTTTTAAGTCTCTGTGTAGAACTCTTCTAGAGTGACAAAACACAATCCCTTGTAGGATTTGGTACAGATAACTCTTAACAAGTGCAGCATCCATGAACTGACCAGAAGGGATAGAATCCAAGTATTTTTTTAGATCCATGGAAAGATATTCAAAGATGAGATATAATCTGGAATCTTTCATGAGCACATCTTGAAGACTGACTATGTTTGGATGACGAAGTTCTTTTAATAGAGAAATTTCCCGAATCGCCGTACTTGGAACCCCTTCCTCTTCACTTTCCAGTCTGATTTTCTTCATGGATACTATTTGACCTGTAGTTTTGTGTCTGCCCTTATACACAACTCCATAGGTACCTTCTCCAATTTTCTCTATTTTGGTATAGTCATCCATAGTCAATCAATAGTTATGTCAGATGCCAGCAAGCGACCCCGCGACGTAAGCGGCGGCGGCTACCACGTCAGCGTCCCTCGATCCTGAACTCCCCAGATCCAGCTCGGAAGTGAACAAAGTAGTCTTATTTTGTCTCATTTTATCATGGTCGTAGCTCCGTGGTAGGCAAACTGCGACTCATGAGCCACATGCTGCTCTTTGGCCCCTTGAGTGTGTCTCTTCCACAAAATATAATGGCCTGGGCGAGTCTATTTTGAAGAAGTGGCATTAGAAAATGTTTGCGTTTAAAAATTTTGCCTCTCAAAAGAAATTTCAATCATTGTACTGTTGATATTTGGCTCTGTTGACTAATGAGTTTGCCGACCACTGTCCTAGATGAACCCTGACTGAGATTTTACTTGTGATGTTATATCCAATACCAGAACAGCATGACCTATTTGAGAGTGGCGGTCTAGTTTGTAATAATTTTGAGGCCTAGTTGTGAATGTCAGGTCCATTATAAACATCTGGAGCTACTTTTATCCCCTTCAGGTTCGTAAAATTCTTCATTGACCACATAGTCAGCACTTAGGGAAGTTAGAGATATGCTTTCTGGTGTGTTGATTTATATAACAATCCATTTTTTGCTAATATTTCATTCCACCTGGGAGAGGTTTAAAGCAAAGGCATTATTTAAACTTGAACAGAAAAAAGAAAAAAGAGATGGCTGCACAGGTAAACACCTAGCCGCAGCCGCACACAACAATTTCAATAAAATACAACTAAAATATAAAATGGACATTACCCAGAACTACAGGAAAGTCAACTGACTGGAAATTCTACAACGAGAAGCAAGGAGAAAACCAGAAGGAAGAGCGGAGGAGCTGTAAAAGCCCGAGGTACAGAGACACGCGGCGCGTGCGTGGAGAGGACGGAGTCGGAGAGGAGGGAGGCTGAGTGCCTGGCTGGCGTTCCCTAGTGAGAAGGAGATAAAAGCTCTGACTGTGCTGGGCCCCAGTTCCGACTGCTCTGAACCCCAGTTCTAGGCCAGACCCCGGGGACCCAGGCTCAAACAGAGGGAGCTGGGCTGTAAGGCGGAACCCCGGGGGAGCGGCAAAAGGAGGTTCCAGAGAAGGGACAGTTGGCTGTGCCGCAGGATTGCCCTGGCAGGAAGGAGACAGGGGCTCCAGACTGCTCTGAATGCCACCTCCAACTCCACTTCCAACTGAACTGAACCCCAATACCAGGCTCATTGGGAGAGAGCCTAGACTGTTTGGTAGCAGGAGAAAATCGAGGGCACCTTTCTCTTAGAGGTGCTTGCAACAAGTACTGAAGGACCCTGAGACTCAGGAGCCGCATAGGGCAGGGCTGACAGAAGCCAAAGCTGTAGGCTCCACTCTGAAACCCCGCCCCATCAGGGAAGCTGCGAAAATGCCGAGACGAAATAGATCACAAACAAAAGAAATGGAGGACAAAAAGCAACTGGATATAGAGTTCAAATCTACGCTTATAAGGTTAAGGTTTTTCAAGAATTTCCTAGAAAAGATCGATAAGACCTATGAGGATATGAAAAGAGATCAACTAGAAATAATAAGGAATCAATGAGAAATGATAAGGGATCAACAAGAAATAAAGAATACATTGTCTGAAATAAAAAAATATCATACAGAGTCCTAAAAACAGAATGGAAGATCGCAAGAATCAAGTCAAAGATTTGGAACATAAAGAGCCAGAAGACACTCCTCCACAGAAGCTAGAAGGCAAGAGAATCCAGAAAATTGAAGGTAATGTAAGAAACCTCTGGGACAACTTCAAGCAAACCAACATCAGAATTATGGGGGTCCCAGAAGATGAGAGAGAACAAGATATCAAAAACATACTGAAAGAAATAGTGACAGAAAACTTCCCCCACCTGGTGAAAGAAATAGACTTACAAGTCCAGGAAGTGCACAGAACTCCAAACAAAAGGAATCCAAAGAGGACCACACCAAGACAAATCATAATTAAAATTCCAAGAGCAAAAGACAAAGAGAGAATATTAAAAGTAGCAAGAGCAGCCGAAACCGGTTTGGCTCAGTGGTAGAGCGTCAGTCTGCGGACTGAAAGGTCCCAGGTTCGATTCCGGTCAAGGGCATGTACCTGGGTTGCGGGCACATACCCAGCAGGGGGTGTGCAAGAGGCAGCTGGTCGATGTTTCTCTCTCATCGACGTTTCTAGCTCTCTATCTCTCTCCCTTCCTCTCTGTAAAAACTCAATAAAATATATTTTAAAAAAATAAAAAAATAAAAAAATAAAATAAAAGTAGCAAGAGCAAAGCAGGTAGTTACCTATAAAGGAGCACCTATACGATTGTCAGCTGATTTCTCAACAGAAACCATGCAGGCTAGACGGGAATGGCAAGAAATATTCAAGGTGATGAATAGTAAGAACTTACAGCCAAAGATAATCTATCCAGCAAAGCTATCACTCAGAATCGAAGGTCAGATAAAGAGCTTCACTAATAAAAAAAATAAAAATAATTAAAAAAGCTGAAGGAGTTCATCACCACCAAACCAGAATTATATGAATTGCTGAAGGGGGTTCTTTCAGAAGAGAAAGTAAATAAAAATAAAAATTATGAACAACAAATATGTAACTATCAACAAATGAATCTAAAAACCAAGGAAATTTTTAAAAAATCTGATGAACAATATTAACTGGTGAATATAATAGAATCAGAGGTACTAGCTTTTGACAGATTTGCACCATGCGTGAATATAAGCTAGTCGTTCTTGGCTCAGGAGGTATTGGAAAATCTGCTCTAACTGTACAGTTTGTTAAAGGAATTTTTATTGAAAAATATGATCCTACAATAGAAGATTCTTACAGAAAGCAAGTTGAAGTTGATGCACAACAGTGTATGCTTGAAATCTTGGATAATGCAGGAACAGAACAATTTACAGCAATGAGGGATTTGTACATGAAAAATGGACAAGGCTTTGCATTAGTTTATTCCATCGCAGCACAATCCACATTTAATGATTTACAAGATCTGAGAGAACAGATTCTTTGAGTGAAAGACACTGATGATGTTCCAATGATTCTGGTTGGTAATAAGTGTGACTTGGAAGATGAAAGAGTTGTAGGAAAGGAACAAGGTCAAAATCTAGCAAGACAATGGAACAACTGTGCATTCTTAGAATCCTGCAAAATCAAAAATAAATGTTAATGAGATCTTTTATGACCTAGTGCGGCAAATTAACAGAAAAACTCCAGTGCCTGGGAAGGCCCGCAAAAAGTTATTGTGTCAGCTGCTTTAATATACTAAATGCATTGTAGCTCTGAGCCAGGTCTGAAGAACTGTTGCCCAATTCAACAGTGCCAGCATTCCAACTTTATTAAACCTACCAACATCTTAAATGGACTTTCTGTGGTGGTATCCTTTAAGAGGCGAATGAAGCTACTACATCAGTTTGCACATTCTAATCACTTTCCAGTATCACAAGAGAGATTTTTACTTATATAATAGCCCTAGTGTATGCATCTAGTAAAACCAGAAGCTACAATCCAGTATTACTGCTAAGAGACATTTTCATCCACCAATGTTGTACATGTATGAAAATGGTGTACTGTATACTATAACACGCCCCATACTTTGTTTTGGAGAGTACAATAATGTAAATTCTAAAAGCACCACTATTTTAGCATAATAAAAGAAATTCCAAAGGAAAAAAGAAAACAGAAAAAAAAAACAACACAGAAATTAAGACAGGCCCCAAGGGAAGTGAATAACAAGCATAGAGAAGTCTCTTGACACCGTTCCTTGTAGACAGCAGTAAAGGAATCCTCAAGGACCAGGAAGAACAGGGCTTACTTCCTGGCAGGCTGTGCTTATAACACCTCCCTCCTTCAGCAGACACAATCTAGGATCCTTATCAGAACCATTTCCCCTCTTTTCTCCACTCCAATTATTGCCAAGAAGACTATCTCTTCTCTCTATGAAAGCAAAAGAGAAATTTTTGAGAAGTTTCAGTTTAGAATTTCCTTTGCTGATCCAGGTAATAAGGTTATGTAATGTTTGGAAGAGTAAAAAATATAATCTACTAGTCTTTACTGATAGTTCTCTTTGAATTTGCTATGGTCATAAACATATAACCAATATTTCTTAAGCATGGGTCAGGCAATTATCAAGGTACTTACACAGATACTTACCTCATTTAGTAATCTTTATAACAGCCCTTTGAAGACATAATTATGCCCATTTTATAGCTTAGAAATCTGAGTATTAATTTCCTATAACTAGATTTTTTAAATCTCTTGACTTTAAATTCAATGCTTTTCCTATTATATCCAGCTGCATACCAGTCATCCCAATCTTGAAAATTATCCTTACTCTTAAGTATTTTCCAGAAATAGATTTCCCAGGGTTACAGATCTGGCAGCCCCCACACAAACGAGTTAAAGGAAAGAATTGAATTGTTATCAGATATCTCTGGACTGGCTGTGGAGAGAGGGCCAACAAATAAATATACCAAGATTTCTACTGTACTGAACTTTGAGAGAAAATTAAATTATCAGGAATGTCTTCCTCACAATGACATAATCTACCTTTCTGGAGTTAACTAATTTAACAAGTAAACCATAAAAAGGTGATTATAGTTAATTGACTCTACTGGTGTGCGCAGCACCCTCTGCAGTCGAAGAAAGATGATGACTTAACCAGCTTAAGGTGAGTAACAATACAGTCTGGTTAAATATATTTGATTGAGCATAAAATGGTGATGGCCTTTCCTGTATTCTAAAATACCTCCCTGATTTCTTAAACAGCTTTGTAAGACTTTCTGACAGAGTTGTTCTGAGAGGGAACGGCTTTACTCAAAAGTCTAACACTATCATTTGTTTTGGGTTGGTTTGGTTTTATTTTGTCTTCATTTTTAAGGCATACTCTGCTGCTGAGTAGAAATGGAGGATACAGAGGTAAGTAGAGGCGAGGAGCTCTGTTAGGATGCTTCCACAGAAGTCCAAGGAAGAAAGGATGATAATTTGAACTTGGGAGATGACAGTAAGACAAAGCGAAGAGAATTGTATGTCATATTTTAAAAACAAAAGCATCTTGCTTGTGAGTTGGATGTGAGGGGTAAAAGAAAGGAAGATATGTAACATTAAAATACACTAGAGCAGGAAAATAAGTCCTTGAACATTAACTAAACTATTCAAAGTGCTAAAAAAAAAATACTTTTTTAAAGATGATGGACAAAGTGATTATCACACAAAATAACCATTTAGAAACACCCTGAAGAACACTTTGATTAAAGATGCCCCAACCAGCCCTCACTGGTTTGGCTCAGTAAATAGAATGTCGGCGTGCAGACTGAAGGGTCCCAGAATCAATTTCGGTCAAGGAGACATGCCCAGATTGCTGGTTTGATCCCCATTATGGACAATCCAGGAGGCAGCTAATCAATAATTCTCTTTCATTATTGATGTTTCTATCTCTCTCTCCCTCTCCCTTCCTCTTTGAAATCAATAGAAATATATTCTTTTAAGAAAGAAAGATACCCAACCACAATTGGGTATCTTTCAAATTATTTTTACCTATTGAAGACTAAATGACTTTCTTCTGAGTTGGTGGTAAACCTATAGGCCTAAAAGGGACTTTTTTAACATTGTGGAATTTAAAGTCCATACGTGACCATCACATGTTACAGAAAATTTTCTTTTGAGTCACTCCTACAATTCATTAGCAGTTGATGTATTCTTATGGCCCCAACATTCAAAAAATGAGGCACTTGGGAAAATGTTTACCTCAGAAAAGATCATATACTGAATATTTTCATCCTTAATGAGGCTAATGTAAAATAAAGGAAATATTTATTAAATATTTTATGTATGGTTTAAGTTCACTTTCAAAAAAGATGACTATTTGCTATCTGAAACTTAATCTCAGTCCATAGTCACATATCCTTAAAATGGAAAAAAGAGGAAAGGACATTTAGAAAGTGTAAATTTGTGGTACAAGAACCAAAACCAGTTCATCTCACAGCTAAGCCACTAAAAGATCCAAGGCCATATAAGTTAATACATAGACTAGCAGGATCATGGTAAATTTTATTGACCACATGAGTTACCTGTGTCATAGAAATATAAAATCCAAAACTAGATCTGGCTCAGAGAGGGAAGCTTTTGTGCATATTTTATAAGTTCCAAAATATTATTCATTTTCCTGTTCCCTGTCACACATTTTCTTGTTCTCCAAAAACAAACAAAAAAGTACTTTATAGACAACTAGCTCTCCCTTGGTACCTTCTGCCATTTATCCAGGGAGGTCTTACTGTTTTTGACTATTCCAAAGAGACCACTGGCAGACTCCTTGGATAGCTATGCCAATACTTGAAAATAACTTATTACTGATTAATTGATGTTATATTGGAGATAATGGAAAATAAGTTATTTTTCATGTTTCTATTTACAGATGCTATAGTTACCAAAACCAAGTCTAGATGCAGAACTATTTAACAAAGGTTGGGGTAGGTTTTTTTTTTACTCAGAAAAACATAAAGTCATTATGCAAATATATAACCATCCAAAGTCATTCTGCCTTGAGGTGTTCCCAAGAAGTGATTAGGAGAGAGAGCAAAAAAATTTAAAGTTTTCTCTTTTTTACAAGTTTCCTGCTACATGTATCTTAACATTAGATCCATAACATCAGGATTCACAGTTTATATGGAATTTTCAGCATCATATTTCTGACCTAGACAATCAGAAATCTATTTCAGCAAGACCAGATTAGTGCTAGTCTACCCTGAATAAACCAGGACAGTATTTCAGGTTTAGGAAAAAATAGTAACTATTCATACATAAATGTTTATTGCATTCCCCACTGTGGTGTCATGTATGTAAATACAGTCATTCAATGATTTGACAATTTTTTTACAGCTCACAAACCCATGAAATTTTTCAACAACTCCAGCACCATCACTGGCTTCATCCTCCTGGGCTTCCCTGGCCCCAGGGAGGGGCAGGTCCTCCTCTTTGTAATCTTCTTTGTTGTCTTCCTCCTGACCCTCATGGGCAATGGTTCAATCATCTGTGCTGTGCACTGGGATCAGAGACTCCACACCCCCATGTACATCCTGCTCGCCAACTTCTCCTTCCTGGAGATCTGGTATGTCACCTCCACTATCCCCAACATGTTAGCTAACTTTCTCTCTGACACCAAGGTCATCTCCTTCTCTGGGTGCTTTCTCCAGTTCTATTTTTTCTTCTCCTTGGGTTCTACAGAATGCTTTTTCTTGGCTGTTATGGCATTTGATCGATACCTTGCCATCTGCCAGCCTCTACACTACCCAACCATTATGACTGGACGTGTCTGTACAAATCTTGTGGTCAGCTGCTGGGTACTTGGTTTCCTCTGGTTCTTGATTCCTATCACAGTTATTTCTCAAATGTCCTTCTGTGGCTCCAGGGTCATTGACCACTTCCTGTGTGACCCAGGTCCTCTGTTGGCCCTCACCTGTACCAGCCACCCTGCAATAGAGTTAACTAGCTCTACCTTAAGTTCTCTGCTCTTATTTATTCCCTTTATTTGTATCATGGTGTCCTATTCTCTGGTTCTACAAGCTGTGTTGAGGGTTCCCTCAGCAGCTGGACGAAGAAAGGCTTTCTCTACCTGTGGATCCCATCTGGCTGTGGTTTCTGTTTTCTATGGCTCCGTGATGGTCATGTATATAAGCCCAACATCAGAACATAAAGCTGGAATGCAGAAGATAACTACTTTACTTTATTCTGTAGTTACTCCACTCATTAACCCTGTAATATATAGCTTGAGGAACAAAGATATGAAACATGCAATAAAGAAATTATTTGGGATAGAAACAGAGGCATGGATACATAAAACAGTCTGACAGCTGTCAGAGGGAAGGTTGGGAAGACTGAATGAAAGAAGATGAAGGGATTAGACAAAGAACATACAACTCATAGACACAAACAGCAATGAGATGATGCAAGAGGGAAAGGGGGACTAGGAGGAAGAGGTAAAGGGGAGGAATGGAGATATCTGTAATAGTGTCCATA